CGGGGCTGGGGGCGATTTCAGGAGAGCATTAGCTTCCCGGCATGATCCGGGTCCTTCATCCCAGGGGTGGCAAGCTCTGGGTTCATCAGTGGTGCCCGGGAGATGCTGAATCCCCATCTGTCACCTGCCCGGCAAAGGCAGGCTGGTGAAAAAGGGATTTCAGAAAGATGACAAATCCGGTGCATTCGATGCAGAGCAGAGTGATTTCTAGGAAGTTCAGGTCATCACTGAGTAATTTGTTTTTCACATCACAGGTTGTTCTCTGAGTTTTGGTTTTACTTTAATTTCTGTGAAACTTTTCAGAAGCACAATGGAGATAAAAACCCTTATGACTTGCTGAAATAGTTCTGCACTGATGGCAGAGAGTAACTTCTGTACCGGTGCCGGACAGCTCTCTCTCTCCAGCCCTTGAAAAGGTATTGGCCTTGCTAGCCCTATCCTGTAGGAAAATGCATGGGTTTTCTGACAAAGATCGTTGCATTTACTTCTGCAGAGCTGACTTCAGCATCATTTTGTGCAGCCTAAATCTGTGCAAGTAGACTCAGGTCTCTATCTGTTTTTGAAAGAGTAAATGCAAAAGAAATGCAAAAGATGCAAAGAATGGCTAAGGTCTGTCTCAATTTTGCCAGGTTTTTTTGTGCTTTCACAGCACTTCCTTGATTTCCAGCAGGCTTTAATCAGTATTTCAAACTCTTTCAAGTCTATGTATTTATTAAAGCCTGGGGTTGCTTTTTCCACTGGTGTGGCACATCCAACTGACATTACAAGGAATGAGCATGCTCAAACTCTCAGCGGGTTCAAAGTGCTGCCTTGTCCCTGAGCTGCTCTTATAGCACCTTCAGAGACACCTCCGTCCTCTGCACCGTCTTGTTCTGCTTAACCAGGGCTCTCTCTCCGTGCTTTTCTCCAGTATTTGCATCGCACTGGGAGAGGTGACCCTCCTTTGCATGACTTAAATCCCTCTCGTGCCCGCGCACCCTTTCCGTCTGGAAAAAGCGGGTGGCTAGTTTTGGCAGAACTGTGCCGCACCAGCTCCCAGTTTCATCAGGAGCATATTCTTCTCTTCCCTTTGCATGAGCAAGCTGCAGACCTGGGTAACTGACTGGGTGGGTAAAACGGAAAAAAGAAAGAAAAAAACTTCCAACAACCACTAACTCGAAAGCCACAAGCTTTTGAAACTGAGCTGGGATTCTTTTGTTTTCTGATTATGCTACTGTGCTGAAGATAAGGGACCACTCATGCATATGCGATCTGCATGTATGAATGTGAGAGACGGGTGCATTTTTTAAATGCTTCCTGTCATAGGTGTGGTTCTCTCTCTCTCTCTTTTTAAAACTTTACTGCCCTAATGTCAACCAGCCTGTTGTAATCGCCAGGCTCAATAAACCCAGGAGCAGTCTTGCTGAACCAGCAGTACTGTCTTGCCTCCCAGAGCACAAGGCACATTTACCGGAGCCTTCCCTGATCTGCCGGGTTGTGCTCAGCTATCTTGACCTACAAGCCTCCTAATTGACCTGGTGCCATCCCATAGTCCTGCCACATTTTGACAAACCTCAGGATCTTTTGGCTTCCAAATCAATGGCTTTCTGTTGCACATGCCTCTGGCAAATGCAGCTTCCTCTACAAAGCACGTTTCTTGGTATCTGTTAGCAGCCTAATGAGAGGGACATGAACATAATTTCTCCCTTAGGGTAGTTGTGTTGGCTTCAATGTATTTATTGAATGAGAAATTTTGACCCATTTTGCTTTGCTGTATCTATCAAATGGGGAGAAAAAATGACTGAACATGACCCAAGCGAAAAGTGGCTTAAAATCCCCCACACCCTTTCACCCTTAAAGATTTGTGGGGGAAAAAAGCCTTTTACCTCTGACACATGCTATTCCCAGCCTTAAGTTGTATGCATTTTTCAAAACAAGTATCTGCTGTAAAAAAACAGATATGCAGCTTCTTTGGAAATGTGTTGAAATGCAGTTAGCTCAGGCGGTGCTTTGGATCTGTTTCTAGAGCTACCCCAGTGACACCATTTTTCTTCTTGGTTGGTCTTTGCATCTGTAAGCCATGAAAAAAAAAGACGTTTCAACTGATTTAAATGCATGGAGTTAGGAATCCTACCAAAAAAAAGCCCACTCCAGACTATGTGTTTCCTTTTCAGGAAAAGCTTTTGCTCCTTTCAAGATCTGTTGGGAACAGAATAACCTACAGAGAGTTAATAGCAGGGCAGTCCAGAGGCTGATCATCACATGGTGTGGTTGCAGGACTGCTCTTTGGGGGGCTCACTGAAGCTCATGGCTGGAGCACTGTTTTATACTTGCCCAATAGGCACTGCAGCAAGGGAAACACTTCATGGGCAAAATGACAGGTAAAAAGCATCCTGCCACTTGGCAATTAGAGCATTTGTGTGTACAGTGTTTAATTACACACAGTTAGTCCAGTGGTTTCAAAGAGTGTGGATCTTGCCCCTCTACTAGAGGGAAAGCTTGCTCCCCGTGAAGAGTGTCGGGGCAGCCAGGGCATGAGTTGCTGCCAGTTTCCTCCTAAAGCTGTAGTGAGCAAACCTGATTGACTTACTGAAGGAATGTAATGTACTTGGCCCCCTCAAAGCCCCACATGAAACATTCAGAGAGATGTACAGTGCAAATAATATTTCATCCTGTACCCTCCATTGAAGAATGAGGGGGTTTGAATTAACTACCTGCTTCACATAGCTTGCTGGGCCAACTTGAACTCTGACTTAGAATTTCTGTGCAAAAAACAGTTCAGAGCCATAATTAAATTGCTTCTACTGAGACCGCAACTCTTTGTATTGTTTTATTCATGTTTTCTTCCCCCATGATAAAGTATGAACAGCTATGTGAGATGAGAGGAAAGAAATGTGCTAGGTAGCCCATTTTACATCATTGAGGAAACCTCTGGAGTCCAAAGGACTGTCCACTGTGACATGATGGGCCTGCAGAAAATCTCTCATGTCCTTTCTCCACATGGACATTTTACTCTGTCACGAGGTACACTGATTTCTCATGGGGCCATCTGCATCACAACATCATCCACCAGAAGCCCTAGAGGGACAAGGTGTGTGAAAGGCAACACAATCTGTTAAGTAATCTACGGTTTTGCTTTGGCTTATACTTTCAGCAGGACTTTTTCAGGTCCTGAGACTTCCGCTTGTCCATGAGCTCAAGAGCCCAGCCTCAGAGCTGAGGGATCACACTGATGCTGGGGCTGCAGCCATGTGAGCAGGCAGCTGGGGGTGGTCCTGAGAGACTCATGTCTGGCATGAGTCAGTCTCATGTTGATGACAGGACACCACTGCATTTTTTTTCCCTGAATTCATCAAAGATCACTATTTGTCATTTCTTTGCATTCCCACCCTGGACAGGAGGGCGCTATTCCAGGGCCACACAGATAAGTGCAGGAACACGTGGGGAGCCCAGTCTGTTTGCAGGAGTTTTGGGAGAGAGGTGCCCAATGGCTGGGATGCCTGTTGGGATGATCAATACTACAGTGTGTTATCTGCCAGTGCTGTCATTCTGTTGGTGGGAGATGTGTGTCTCTTGATGATGGGGAAGAGCTGTAGATGGTTCAACTTTTAAGCCCTTGGCTTTTGCCAATGGAGGTAGATGTCTTTATGTTGCTCTTCAGTGTTTATGGCTCTGCAGGTGACCGTAGCCTTGTGATTTCTCGGGCATTTATGGCTGGAAAGCCTGAATGTGGGCACCCCAGACACCCACTGGGCAATTCCTGCCCCCAAGTCCGTGTTTGGGATTAATGCCCCAGGGCAAGGAAACCCCTGGCAGAGGAGCAGGGGTAAGGGAGCCAAATGCATAAATTCAGTGCCACAGACTAAAATATGCAGAACAGACCACACAAGAACAGAATGTGTGGTTTCCCTTCCTCATGACCTGCCTCCATGAGCAGGGGGCAACTGCCCATGCTCCATCAGTCAGGCTTGCTGTGTCTGAATGCTCTGCTGCAGGAAAATGCCTGTCATGGCAAAGTGTGGTGAGCTGTGCTACGTTTCTGTCGAGTACATTACACAGCCATCAGGTGTTACGCAGCCAACACAGTGTTGCTCTCGGGCTCTGCCTTCTCAGCTTTACCATGGACTGTCCCAGTTTGGTTTGTTTTCAGTTTGGTTGCCACTCTATCCTCTGACACTGAACATGACTTTTTGTTGACTATGAATTGAAGGGAGTGGATGGAGGTCTAAATTCCTATGGATGCAGTTCCCTGAGAGGAGCTCAGTGTCTTTTCTCCTTGGAAACTGACTCCAAATTCCTCAGAAAAATCAGAGTAGAAGATGAAGGAGTGACCGAGCACTGATCTCCTGAAACCACACTTTCAAATTAGGCATCTGAACAAAGGCTTCCTCTATCTGTAGCACTGAGGAAGGTGGCTTTGTTCCAGGTGAGCTTGATGTCCACTGGTGACCTATGTGACAGTCTCAGGGATCAGTACCAGTCCTTTTTAGTTAGATATTTTCATGTGTATATATATATATATATATATAATC